AAATTTTCTTACTGTCTGAAATTATATACTATTTGAAAATTTCTTTCTAGCAGTCCTAAAAGGGGATGTCTAGAATTAATAATGGCCCATTACCTAAAGAAATAGAACATAGTTAGAGTTTGTTTCAAGGCTTAATTGATTATGATATTTATATTAAACTACCTTGTCCCAAAAAGGTTATATGATTGATATATTCTTTAAGGGATTTTGTTTTGTTTTGTTTGCTTTGTTGTTGTTGTTGCAAATAATAAAACTCTATAATGGGCAATTTGAGGGAAAATAAATTTACTGAAAAGATATTGGGTAGCTCACAACATTGGTATATACAACAGAAAACTAGACCACACAAACACAGATTCAAACAGAACAAAAACAATAAAGGGTAGAGAAATTATTCAGCCAGGATACAGTGTCCTAGAGTTAGGATAAATGAACATTACCTGTGTTTTCAGATTTTGAAACTTTTGCTGAGATTCGACATTCCAGGAGAAAAAAATCTGGTTAAATTTAAGTCATATGCTAACCAACTTGTTGGCTATACTGAGTTAGAGAGTAAGGATCTGATCATAGGAGCCTACAGTGCCTCCACAGATTCCTTGGGCACCTGTAGTGGAGGGAATGAATGATTTACAGTCCCATCAGATTCCAATCAATGCAGGAGAGTGAATTCATGAAAGGAAATAATGAGGGCTTTTGGAAAGCACCAATGGATGTGAGGCAGCCAGAACAGTAAATATCCACAGCATTTGGGCACCTTCTGCAATGGTGCTTTCCATCTTCAGAGAACAAAAACAGTGAAAGCAGCCCACAGTGAGACCATGAATAAGAAGCAACATGAGAAATCAACCCCACTCTCTAAACACACACACACACACACAAACACACACACACACACACACACACACACACACACACACACACACCAAATACACCAAGATTCTGGAGCAAGATTCATTCAGAGAGGTAAACACTATCACTTCAGCAAAACAGAGAACTTCAGACATGAACCAAAGGAAGACTCCTGGATTAGTTCTTGTTTTCCTTTGTGTTGGAATTGTTTCTCCTGGATGCCTTGAAGCTAAGCATTCTTTCATCTATCAAAGAAATTGTATTTCCAATCAGTGCCACTATCCTCTCTCAATTTCCAACAGCTGTCTATCTTACAGGGGGTATCAAAGAATATCCATTTCAGAGCATCTAAAAGAATGTGAAATCTTGACTCTGAATGGCTGAGGAGAAACCAGTACTGAGAAGTTGTAAACATGGGGCTAGTTCAGGAGCCCATCATGTCTATCTGTCACTGACAAGTCACCAAGCCCTTGTAATTCAAAATCATTAGTCATGTCTTCTTGAGGCACGGAGGCAAAGCAATAGAAAAACAGCAGGCGCTGTAGTGTTTCTGGAGGAACAGATTCTTTCTTTCCATGCATTGATCATATTCTGATGACCTAACAGATAAAAAAAAATTACACATGCTAGCACTACCAGACAAGATTCATGCCAACCTATTTTCATTATGCAGCAAAGCTGCAAATTTTGCTGATTCAGGATTCTGTAGTCCAAAAAAAAAAAAATTCTGATAATCCTGTTGTAAGAATACCATTCAAAAGATGACCAAGAAAGGCATTTGTTACTCTTTTGTAGAAAAAATTGGAAGGCTGCTAAAGAAAGTTTTCTAAATCTCGGATAGATAAGAATATAATATGCCAAAGTATCAAATTGAAGCAAAACTGAATTTGTTACATACACATGTTTTACAAAGCCAACCCATTGCTGGTTATGCCATCTTACATGAACTGCCTGCAAACAGCTTTAAAAATGTACAGAACATTTTACAGATCACTGAAAACCTAAATACCAAAGAGTCCATTGAGGTGAGATATATTTAGCTCTCCACTGTGCCTATGCTTGCATTCACCATTTTTGCCTGCTGCTATACCAAGGACTTTTAATGCATCCATTTAAGAAATGCTTCTTTGCTGGTAAAAAAAAAAAAAAAATCTTAATGCAAAACTGCATTGGAGGTTGCAATCATTTTATTCCCTAAAAACATGCATTTATGCCTCAGGGTTAACCTCAGGCTCTGTCAAGAATACATTCGAAATGAGGAAGAAGTAGTTTGCAGGACTAGAAAATATGGAACAGTGCCTTGTAAAAACTTCTCTCTCCTCCCATACACCATTAAATGATAGACTTTTGCTTTAAAATGCACAATTCCTATTAGAAAACATATTCATCAGATTAAACTCATTTGAATATGAGAGTAAACTTGTGCCTAAGAAAGACAGTAGAAGCAACTCCCAGAAGGGCGACCTTGGAACATTTCAGAAACATGATAGTTCATACATTGGTTCTGTTCCAGATGTCATCGAGAAGGAGGATGGGGAGGAGAAAGGTATTTGGCAATATCCCACTTATTCTGATATCAGATAGCTATGTTCCCTCCAATTAAGTGTAGTTTTGCCACATTAGTCATATTTCAAAATTGGGTAGACAGATGAACTTGTCCCATTCAATCACTAACATTGATTCCCTCTTGCAAAAATAAAACTTGGAATTGCCTTGGTACCAAACGTGCTCTCCATATGCAAAATTAAAGACAAAGAATAAACGCTCCATATTCCACTATGTTTCTCCTCTAAATGCTAAGGAATAATGTCTGTCGATGCACAAATTTTCTTTCCAGGTTAATGATTGATGTTCCCAATAGATAGAGTGGTAGTACTATCTAAGTAGTATATAGCTCTTTTTCTACCACATTAAACCAAAACTTTGTACTGATCCAAAGGTGTAATTTTTAAAAAATTTTTTAGAACCTTGTCAATTTTTCAGACTGGTCTTTGAATGAAATGTTAAAGTGATATGAGTACTATTACATACATGACCACATTCCTGATAAAATGCATTAATGACTCTATTCAACACAAATAAGGCAATTCAGACTTGCATACTAATTTGGAAAATTAGCATCTTACTGTTAGAGACATATATTTTAATATGTAAACATTAGCATGAAAAAATGCTTTTGAAAGATTTCTGAAAAATGGGTGGTTTCATATGGAGCTATTTTAATAAGTGCTTTTATATCAGAAATGTATATCAGTGGTTATTATAATGTTCACTGGGAACCTTGAACTATATAGAAAAGACAATTGTCTTAGTGGGAGTGTTAAAGGTGATCCTTCATGAAACAGAGGAAAGAGTGGAGTCATGGAAGACAGGCATGTTGACCTCTGAGCTTTTTCTATGCCTGGATCAGGATGTTTATGATAGAAAGCTTTGACTGTTTCTCAATAGTCAAAAACACCTCTCCCCACTATGTTTTGGTCCATGTGCATTGGTATCATACACAGGACTTAAATCAGTTTAGACATGTGTATTCTTACTGGTAGGAAACTGGCCAACCAAGCAGTTTAAAGAGGGTTAGGGATGGCTAATCTTTCATAAGTGTTACCTCGTTACAGTCAGTTTGGGATCACTATCTCTCTCTCACATAAACTACTTGGTTTGTTTGTTTTTTACATATTTATTTGGAAGAAGGCTTAGAAATTTACATGATTGCTTCTGTAATGAAATTCCAGCTCTTCATTCTGTTTGGTACTCTGATACCACCTTATATGATACATTCACTGAAGGTAAATGTAACATCAGGCCAGAGGTAATTGTACCCTATCTGGCAATCAGCAAACTTCCTAACCAATGACCTGGTTCAGGAATTTTAGGAACTGTTCCTGGATTTCTGCACCCTGTTAATAGAAGGATTAAAATGTCTCTAAAATAGAAAACCCATGTATTAAATATTTTTTATCAATGAGAGCTCATTTTCAATATCAATTATGGTATTTAATAGGATATTCATGTTGATGATTTTTTCCTGACAATTGCCAAGCTACTTACTAATGTGTTTTATTAATCTATATATAGGTAACAGAAGCACATGTAGAAGCTAATTCTAGAGTAGGAGTTATTTAATTAGAAGGATACCTACACACCCCTGAGTGTGAATTTCTGAAGAGAGCAGCTATCTGCATATGGGTTAGAGCTTACCCAACTAACAAACCCAAGACAGGATAACATAGAAGGCTATGCTGAAATATTTTAGAGTAAATTTTACTCCTCTCACCAACAGCCACTCTGGCTCCATAAATAATGGAAGATCAGAGACATTTTGTACTCTTGGTTCCATAGATGGCCTAGTGTCTACTTATCACAGGAATTCATTGTCCTTACTGATTTTTTCCTCCTTATAAATAGTATTGCATGCCAACTCTGCACAAGGCAATGTTTAAGAATGAAGTTGGACCCAAATGTGGATACAGTCTCCAGACTCCAAATTGTTGAAGTTTATAGACATACAAATTTCATTACATTGTATGTACTACTAGAGGCCCAGTGCACAAGTTTTGTGCACTCAGGGGGAGGGAGATCCCTCAGCTCAGCCTGCACTCACTCATAATCTGGGAGCCATCAATGGAATATCCTTAGTGCTGCCTTGAAGGCTGGAGAGACTCCCACCACTGCCACTGTGCTAGCTAGCCATCAGCCAAGCTTCTAGACTCCTAGCTGAGCAGCACTCCCCTTGTGGGAGCTCACTGACCACAAGGGGGGAGCTCCTGCAATGATTGTCTGGCCCCTGGTGGTCAGTGCATGTCATAGCAGCTGCTTGTTCTGCCATGTTGATATGCATATTATTCTTTTATTATATAGGATTCCTAGGTCCTAACCAATGATAGAAAATCCTTTGAAAGTGTGCATCATTATTTCATTCATCTTTGAGTGAGCAAAGAACAATGTCTTATACACATGAATTTACACAGATTATTTTAGAATACTATGACCATAGTACATAATCAATAGATATTCATTATGGAGGTTGAATCATGATGGTAACTCAGTGCCTTGATTCCTAGAGTGGAGTCACTGACAGAAAGACAAATGGACATTCTAGTTTGTTTAGAGTTAAAAGTCAGAGACTAAGTTCAGGTACTACTGCTAAATAGCTGTAAGTCCTGGACAACATTCTTAATGTCACTGAACATCATTTCTCTTCTGCAAAGAGAAGTAGAAACCCTCTTCCACTTAATGATTGTAAAGTTTAAGTAAAAATACATGTAACATTCATAATGCCATGGTTCATACATTGAATTCATTCAAAACTATGAGCAGAGTGTATTAATTAGCTAACAAATGATAACTTGTCTTATAATTTTCTCTTCTTGGCAATACAAAATAATAAACCTCATGGTAGTAATGCTGGATTGGAGTACAGAATTGGCTCATGAGTGTAAACTGATTACATTATATCAGCCTTAAATAAGGACATCATTTTGCCCCACATAATATCAAATTAACTTTTTCATATATTTATTTATATTTATTTTATAAATCCTTATCCACAATAGCATTATATTGTGTGTTTGTCATTAATAAATATTTGAGATAATGAGTCACCAACTTTATTATATTAATTAATGGAATTTTTGCTTTTAATTCATGCAAGTTGAACTAAATTCTACCAAATTTATATGAAATTTCTGGCCTTGTATTAAAAATGCTGCAAAAAAATGTGCTCCTTCAAATATTTTGGGGATTTAGTCTGTTCTAGATAGTGTGTTAGAAGACTGTGATCTCATTTAATCCTTATGTCAACCTTGCAAGGGAGGTATTACTGTATTCATTTTGTAGATGAGAAACTAAATATTATAGATACCTGTATTTTTATTTCACACATATTGGAATTCAATGTAATTGGACTTCTATTGTCACATATCTATTGTGAGTTCACCAACAAATTCCATGTCTTGAACATATCTTTCTGTAGCTTATGAAATGCCTGATACATAGTGGATGGTCAACACATTTTTTTCTATATGTATAATGAATCATGCACTTAACTTTGGAAATAGAGTAAGTGATAGGTCTCTAAGACCCCATCATCAGCTTTTAAGGACATGGCACTAAATTCTGCCTTTCCAATGCATTCTCCTTTTATTTTTCCATTTATTTACCCAGACCAATGTGTGATAAATCCATGACATTTGGAGTCAGAACCAAGATCCTGGATTAGAATACCATCTTAACAAGTTTATTCACTCATCCAACAAAATGAAAGACATGATGTTCAATATTGGTGACTGCTAAATATCAATAGTTTGTAAAGTAAATATTGGGCAACTACCAGATTTTGAAGGGGCTTATATAGCATTATTTCTCAATTTTGACTGTTTAATAAAATCCAGAGGGCTTGCTAAAAAAGTATAGATTCACAGCAATGACTCATTTTCCAGACATATTCCTTGTGCTTATGGAGCTTCTATTCTGGCGAAAAGGAGAGAAAATAAACTATTGGGGTAAACACTCTGAAGGAAAGAAGATGCTCTATGAGATGCAGCTCTATGAATACAGCAAGTCATCCTTCAAATAGCTAGAGAAAGTCTGACTGCAGAGATGAAATTTAAACTGAAGGATGAAGTAAATAGCACCTCGTGAAGACTGTTTGGAAAATGTTGAAGGTAGAGGAAATGTGAGGTTCAAAATGTCCTAGCTAAGAGAGACACCTGTGTTAAAGGAACCTGAGAAGGCCAATGCATCTAGAGCAGTGGTTCTCAACCTTTGTAATGCCGCGACCCTTTAATACAGTTCCTCATGTTATGGAGACCACCAGCCATAATATTATTTGCGTTGCTACTTTATAACTGTAGTTTTGCTACTGTTATGAATTGTAATGTAAATGTCTGTGTTTTCCAATGGTCTTAGGTGACCTTGCTAGTGGTTCACATCATGTGGGTTCCGATGGTCTTAGGCTCTACAGTAGAGGTTGTGACCCACAGGTTGAAAACTGCCGTGGTGGAGTCTAAGACCATCGAAAAGCACAGATATTTATATTATGATTCATTAACAGTAGCAAAATTACAGTTATGAAGTAGCAACAAAAATAATTTTATGGTTGGGGGTCACCACAACATGAGGAATTGTATTAAAGGGTTGTGGAATTACAAAGGTTGAGAACCACTGCTCTAGAGCATCCTGAGCAAGGCAAGAAGAAATCTGATGTGAGGCTATAAAAGAAAGAAAGGTCCAGATTATCCACATCACTTCAATGAAAAATAAAATACCTTTTGCATTTGAGGCATTTTATTTACTTATTGAGTCATCCATTTGGGGCATAGATTTTGTGCCAATCTTTCAGTAGTGGAATAGCTCACATTCTAGCATCTATTAAGATGTTATATTTGCACTAGGGAAAGGATTGGCTTAATATTTCTTAGTTCATAGTCTTTTTGTTGTGTTTTTATGCAGCATTTGTTATATAATACTCAGTTTTTTACTCTGATAAAAATGATATACCAAAAATAACATTTAAGTGGTGTAGTAAGGAGATCTCATTAGTCCATATATTATTTGAAATATATTATATGATATTATGTTATTAAATTGGAAACATTGAAACATGAAAACATTCAAGGTAGAAATTATTGAATGCCAAGATCAATAAGCTATTAGGAAAAGCAATAATGAAGTAAAATGAGAGCTAGTTCTTAAAAATAAAGGTTCTCAAATCATAGAGATGAAATTTTAAAAACACATGGTAAAGTATCTACCAAAAATATGATTCTCTTCACATTAAAATGGTTTGACGAAGATATCAGTGATTATATTTGATCAGAAATGGAGACAATCTTATCATGAATGGTCATAATTTTTTTAGTAATAGGAAATATTCCAGTTGTGTGAATATGCCTTTATAATCCATGTAAGAGAACAATTTCATGTACACAGATAGAGGAAAGCAAGATATTACATTAATGTGAAATTTTATCTAGGAATCACATTTTGAATTAAGAAAAACCACTTGTAACAAATATACTTTAAAATATAATATAAAATATCTATCTCAGAAGGTTAAATTTTCAAAGATAAATTTTAATCAAGGGTATCAAGCAATACTTTTAGCATTTACAAATGTTGTAATATAATACATTTCACTTGAGACTGACGCATCAATGTAATTTGTAGATATTGACAACCTTTCAGTCAACTTCATGGGGAAAAATCATCATTACAAAGACCTTTGTTTTCATATTTATAACATTCTACGGAATATGAGAACTACCTGAAAATAATAAGAAAATAATTAAAGTCCCTTTCTTATTTAGTTAAAAAATACACAAATAAACATGGGACTCCATATATTAAATACTTGTTTTAGAGTCAGCTTTTCACTGGACTTTCAATACTAAAGAATTACTTAATTCATCTAAAGAAACAAAAAAAAAGAATCAATCAACAAGGATTTTTATAGTACTTATTAAAAGTACTCAGCACTGGGCTGCATGTTATGGAAAAAGAGGATGAGTCAGAGTGAATTGCTGCCTTCAAGGAAATTACAGTTTAATTGGGGACTTGCATTAGCTTGACAAATAATTTTGAAACAATGCCATAAGGAATGGAGATGATTGAAAAAAAATTATAAAGGAGTTAAGCAAGGTTGGGTCTTGACCCACAAGTAGCCTTTTGAAAGGCTAGAACCGTGGTTGGCAAACTGCAGCTCATGAGCCACATGCGACTCTTTGGCTCCTTGAGGGTGGCTCTTCTCACAAAAATATTACGGCCTGGGCAAGTCTATTTTGAAGAAGTGGAGTTAGAAGTTTAAAGTTTAAACATTTTGGCTCTCAATAGAAATGTCAATCATTGTACTGTTGATATTTGGCTCTGTTGACTAATGAGTTTGCCGACCACTGGGCTAGAATATAAGGAAAGGGAGATTAACATTTCTTCTTTTTTAAAAAATTATATATATATATATATATATATATATATATATATATATATATATATATATATATATTGAATTTTTACAGAGAGAAAGGGAGAGGGATAGAGAGCTAGAAACATCAATGAGTGAGAAACATCGACCAGTATCTTCCACACCCCCCACGGACCAATGTACATGTCCTTGACCGGAATTGAACCTGGGACCTTTCAGTCCGCAGACGATGCTCTATCCACTGAGCCAAACCGTTTTTGGCAGATTAGCATCTCTTGAGCCCTACTTGCTACTAAACATCTTGCTGAATGCATGCTGTAGTTTATTTTTATTTGTTTTACTTTGAACATTCAGAGCAGCCCCATGACATAGATAATTCATATTTGAGGTCCAAGAAACCGAAGCTTAAAGAAGTGAGCAGAGAGGATGGCCATTGGGCCATGCGTACCCCTCCCTGTGCACCCGCTCCCGCCCCGCCTTCCAGGTTCTTAGAGCCCTGCGGGTGGTGGGTGGTGGAGGCAGGTGGCGGGTGGCGGGTGGCGGGCGCGGGGTGGCGGTTGGCCACAGGGACCAGGACGGCGACATGGACATGGCCGCGGCACTACTTGTGGTTCTGGTGTTCACCCTGCTGGGCATCGAGAGCGGCTCTGGGGCGGGGAGCAACATCTCCACTTCCATCTTTGACGACGGCTCCAAGACACTCCTCACCTGCACCCTCAACTTCAGCGACACGGCCATCCTGGGGCACCGCTGGATGAAGGGGGACCAGCTGCTCCGGGAGGACTCGCAGCCGGGCCTGTCCACCGAGTACGAGGTAGACCCTGGCGAGCGCTCGGGACAGTACTCCTGCACCTTCCTCTCGGAGCCCACTGGCAGGACAGCCAGGATGAGCGTGAAAGTGCGCCCCAAGGTGCAGGCCGTGACCGAGTCTGTGCTCGGCATCGAAGGGGAGCGGGCGGTGCTGGAGTGCGAGTCCCGGTCCTTCCCCCCGGTCACCCAGTGGGAGTGGTACAAGATCACAGACAGCGGCGACCTGCCTCTCAAGAACCAGTCCCGCAAGATGTTCGTGGTGGTCTCAGAGAACGGTACGGAGCTGCACATCCACAAGCTCAACATGAAGGAGGACCCTGGCCAGTACGCCTGCTATGGCACCAACTCCGAGGGCAAGGTCGGGGCCTTCATCACGCTGCGCCTCCGCAGCCGCTTCACTGCCTTTTGGCCCTTTCTGGGCGTCCTGACCGAGGTAGTCGTGCTGGTCACCGTCATCTTGGCCTTCGAGAAGTGTCGGAAGCCAGACGAGGTCGTGCGTGAGGAAGATATGGGCTCCGCTCCACCAAAGGGCAGTGGGCACCTCATGAATGACAAAGACAAGAGCGATGCCAACTGAGAGAGCGAGCCGGAGGTCACCGGTCACAATGCCTGGCACCATGCTGGCCCCAAGCCAGTCCTGTCCCATCGCCGCAGGTCTGTGTGACCTGGTACAAGCCTGACTTAAGGGCCGCCCCTTTGAGTATCCCCCCTCACTGCTCCTGCCATCCCCATGCTGGGAGGCGGGGGGAGGGTCTGGGTGACCATCCTGGAGCAGGAGTCCCATTCCCACCTGTGCCCATGGTGACTGAGGAAACCCCCTCCCAGGCTGGGCCTGAGGCTTCTTCCTCCAGAGCATTCTGACTCTCATGGGAGCCCTTACCCCCACCTGCCTGCCTGCTCACCAATAAAGGCTGACCCACTTTTCCAGAAAAAAAAAGAAAAGAAAAAGAAAAGTGAGCACATTTGCCCACGGTCCACAGCTTGTGCTGGCCACGCCTGTTTAAAGGCGGGCCACTCTTGCTCCAAAGTCTGATGCTTTCCAATCACAAAGCTCTACCCGCGAGAAACGTTATGGGGAAGAAAGAGGCAAGGAAGGGCATTCTTGAGAGAGAGAAGAGGTGGGGGGGAAAACAGTAAATACTACTCAGATGTGATATTTTCCCCATAAACACTTCTGATTTCTTGGTCTATTTTACCTTATTAGTGGAGTAATTTCCATAAACCAGTAAATACCTATGTGGTATTTTCCCCATAAACACGTTGGATTTCTTGGGCTATTTTATCTTGGTGAAATAATTTCCATAAACCAGTCTTCTGACTCAGAAAACAGCATCAGTCTGCATCTAGTTGCTCAAATCATCCTTGAGTTCTTTTGTATCTTCACTCCGTTACCCAATTCATTAACAGATTCTACGTCTATCTCCAATGTATCTTTATCTGTGCTTGTGTCCGTATATCTAACCCATAATTATTTCTAAGCTGATATCTATCTGTATTTGTATCTAAACACAAACACATAATTTTCAAATCTACACCTATTTCTATATCAATTTCTGTGTGTATATCTTAATCTCTAAACCCATAAAGTTATTCTATTTCTATATATGTTTATGTAAATCTCCATCTCAACTTAAATCTAAAACTACATAGGTTTCTCTCTAAATCTATTTGTACATCTATATATCTATACCTACACTTGCACCTGTCCCAAATTTATACCCAAACCTATGTCTCCACTGCATCTAAGCTAGTCTAGGTCATCATCGTTGTCTTATACTTGGATTACTGTGATAGCCTCTAAACTTCCCTTCCACCTGTTATTTTTGAATCTTTATAATATTTTAAATTTATAAAATACCTCATGCCAATTTCAAAAGTTTACAATGCCTTCCCTCATACTAATAATAGCATCCAAATTCCTACACATGGCCAATTGACTCTACTTTTCCTGTCTCATCTCCTTAAAGTTTCTTCCTCAGTATGTTAGCTCCAGCTACACTAGCCTTCATGATTTTCTCAACTACATCAATCATTTATGCCTCAGGGTTTTGTACTGCTATTTCCTCTGCCTAGCGTAGAATGCTTTCAGAAGTTAACATTTTAGTTTCTTTTTTTTTTCCTTGTCATCCAGGACTCAGTTCAAATGTTGCCTCCTGAGGAAAGGTATCCTTGATCATTCAACCTCATGGCAGGGACTCTGTGGTCGATTAGAGGTGGCCATGTATGCTTTGGCACTTCTGCCACTGAGAGGTGGAATCCATGCCGCAACTCCCTGAGTTTGGGTGGGTTCTGTGCTGCTCACATAAAGAGGATAGGGCAGAGGTGATGCTCTAAGCTCTGACCTTAGAAACCTGGAAGTTTCACTCACACTTAGAAGCAAGTTGCCATGTCATTAGTGTATCCCCCTCTGATAACCATACTGTAAGAAGCCCCAGCCACAAGGACAAACTGTCTGGAAAGAAAAAGGAGAAAGGAGAGGAGAGAAGGGAGGTAAGGGGAAAAGAGAGAGAAGAGAGGCTCTGTGAAGTGGATCTTCCTGGCCCAGTAGCTACGGTGTGGGTCACAGAAAAACCACCCAGCTGAATCTTCCTGGAAATTTCAACTAACAAAAAATAATAAAACACAATGTTGTGTGTTAAGCCACTAAGTTTTGAGTAGTGTGCTACATAGCACCAATTAATCAAACACATGGCAAGTATAATTTATCTGATTATTCTTTCAATTTCCCTACTATTTAACACTGGAAATATCCATCCTCCCTTCTTTATGCCCTCCTTCCTTCCCTTGTTTTTACAGATTTTCTTTCTACTTCTTTTTTCCCCCTTTTTTCTTAGTTCCCAGGTTATCTAAACTCTTTAGATTACAGACCCCACATGAATAAAAACTTTGTGTATCTTTTTCCTCACTGAGCTTCAGTATTTAGAAGTGTGCCACACAGATATTTGAAATCAGCAAATATTTATTGAATAAATGAAATAGCCTGAACATTTAATTATGTTACCTACATTGGGTTCGTAGTTACTCTATCAAAATTACAACATCATTCCTGTACGTAAATACACAAGTAAAAATCCCAACCTAAATACTTCTAAATATAAATGTGGGAGAAATACAGGTATATGGTATTCCATTGTTTTATAAGAGGTGGGTTCTCAGCAAAACAGGATGTTTAAATTAGCTGGCAAATTACTGCTCTTTGGTATTCGACTTCAATGGGATTACTAAATGGTTAGCTCAGTGCCATAATGAGCTTCAAAGAATCAAATAACATCCACAGACTTTAAAGTAGCTTTGGCTCCTCAGTACTACGTCTTATAGCTGGCAGAGCCCCATCCCCCTTTTCATCAGCCTCATGATGACCTGGACCAGGCCATGTGGATCCTGGCTGCCCAGCTGCCTCTGATCTGAGGAGCTGACACAGAAATAACTCCCATTGCTAATAGATGACTCCCCACAAGGGCAGAGTTAGCACTGCTCTACAAATACCATCTTGGGGCCACTCGAGAATGCCTGCTGTGGAGAAGATGAGGTTTTCAAGATGTAAGAAGAGCCCCCTTCATGTTGTCACCCTTTGTGTTTAGTACAAAGCCAGAAAAGGCAGTAGAGCAGTAGAGAGGTTTCCATGACCCACAATGTAGATACACTGAGCTAGCCACTTCAGAGACACTTCCTAAGACACCCACACAAACCATACCCTATGTTCTGCCTCTAAGAAATTCTCTCCTGCCTCTAAGGTCACAGAGGTGAGATGCTATTCTGGTCAAACTCCAGCCACCCCAGCCTTCTCCTAGTTTTTTCAGTGTGCTGTGTCAGTTCCAGGCTTTTGCACAGGCTATTTATTCTAACTGGAACTTTTTAACACTTACCTTCCTCCCCTCTCTCCAAATCAAGGTCTCTGCTTCCATGGCTCTTCCTCTGGGAGGCTTTACTATTCTCCTAAGCAAGATTGTGTATCTCTGCTATACATTTTTATTGCATTATTTATAGCAAGGGACACCCCTGCACTTAAACAGCCAGTCCAGGGATGCCTGTGTTCTCTGTGATCCATCAATCACTCCATTGTAGAAAGTGTTCTCTAGTGTTATTTTGTTAGTAAGTCCAATAAAGGCAGAGATCAGGTTTGGCGTGTTCTTTTTCTGAATGTGGAGGACTTAGCATAATACCAGGCAAAGAGCAGACATTCAGTAATTAGTAATTGAATGGATGAATGAATGATTGGTGAATGGATGTATTGCTGGGATGTTAGAGTAGTGGACATTTGGTTCTGTCTGAAACATTTATGGAGACATTTGGTCCATGCCAAAAGGTCCTTGAAATGTGGTCCAAAATGTCCATGGAGATTTTTGGTCCAAGCTGACCCATCTATCTAACCCCATGTGCCATTACTACAATAACTAAGATACAGAGGCAAGAAGAGCTTTTATTAGCAATACAGTCACGACACAATTATCGGACCAAAAAGACATGCTAGTACAGTATTTTTTTAAAGGTATTAATCTATAAACCAAAGGGTTAAATAAATGTTGCAGGCTATTTGAACCTAGTGAGGTTTTATAAGTGTAGATATTTTGGGAAGAACCAAATAGCAAGTACCATTTGGTATGGCCCAAATATGCTCATGAACATGTTGGACAAGACCAAATTTCAAGGACCTTTTGGAATGAATGGCATGTCTTCATGAAGATTTGGACAGAACCAAATGTTCTACATGGAAGATGTTATATTTTTATTGATTTCCACCCCCTTAGATTTGGAACAATGTCTGTCCCCAGTGAAAGTGAGATTCTTCATTGCTAAATTCTTTATTTTTATCCTGATAGATCACTAATATGTTCCATTTCAGCCTTACTTGCACCTTAGTTGTAGACCAATCCTGACTTGAGGCAGAAAACACATATGACTTTCCATTCTCTTCCTCATGAATTTCTTACAAAGTTGTCCTTCCTAGCCAGGATTCTAAAGCCTTTGGTGCTAAATGTTGGAATCCTAAGTTCATCCTTTTAGTATGTTCATGATGATAGTGTATTATCATGGTGATGACTGATGACAAGTCAATGGTCAAATCACTTGGGTAGTTCCTTTTCCCTCTGAGTTTTTGTGTCCACTCCTTACATTTCCATGTCACTTCAACCTGGACCAAAATCTTCACCCTGACCCTAATTCATGAACTCAGGTTTTCATGTCCCCAACTTAAAAAAGGAGATTCTTGTTTGTTTATTTGTTTGTTTGTTTTTCCCCCAGCAGCTACAGATAATTTCTGCTGCAATGCCATTTACTGAGGCTCAGTTATCTGTTGGAACCCCCAGTTACTTTTCAAATCACTATCTTAGATGATAATTTTGAATGAGAATAGAGATAATTGTGATTTTTGGATACTGTTGCTATGTTCCCCAGACTGGAACACTAATATTAGAGCCACTTTTTCTGAGCATCTCTAACCTCTGATAGTTAAGAGCTTAAATTCTAGAGAAAGACCGATGAGTTTTGGAGAATAGATTTTCTACTTATTAGTACTAAAAGCTTGAAATGCATATTGCATCTCTAAGCCTATTTCCCCTCTTTTGTAAAATGGACATCAATAATAGTACCTCCCTCCTATGGGTATAGTCAGGACAAAGTAAAATGACATGATAGCAAAAGACTACCGGCAAGTCTATACTCCCAGTTCAGTCTGTCTACCTGTGATTACAATTTCCTACTTGGTCTTCACATCTATACGAAGGTTTTCCTATTATAGGTAGTTTTGGTTCAAGTACTATTCCTGAGTATTTATAGAAGGTACACATATATTATTGGTCTTCTGGCTCATTGGAAACTGGATTTTGTAAAAATGCCAATATTTTAATTACTTTCTGAATCCATTTACTTGGATGGTCTGATCACAGTAA